AACTTATTAAGAAAAATTTCAGCTATTCATACACATCGCCCCCCACACAAGAGAGAGCAAAAGTAAAAATACCGGATGAGGGGTATATAGAGAAAAAAAAGGAGAAAAAAGAGAATAATATATAGGACTCTCTACTTCGTCCTACACTGTAAAATAAATCGTAGGATAAAAGTACAACGTATCAAAAAACCTTTTTAACTTATGCGAAATCATTGTACGCTCTTCCAGAAATCCTTGAGAAGGAGTATATGAAAATTTCTATAGCCTTCGAATACCATTCGTAGAAGTTTTATGAAAGGGTCTATAATATTCATAAGCCCTTTTCGGCTGTGAGTGTGGCTATTGACTCAAGTATAGATATGATTTGAGGTCGGTGTAACTGCGTGCGAGTGATGTCTGAGGGATATCTGGCTAATCACACTCGTCCACATCCACACCGGCACTAGAGCCCGTTATTTTGTATTCTGTCACCAGCAAACTCAGCACATTTCACACCCGACTCGATGCATCAAGTCCAAAGTAATTCAGATTCAGTTAACAAAAGTTGTCGTAATCGGACACTGATTCGGATCTGGTTAACACAGAAAAATTTCAGTGGCAAATCCGATGGGCTCTAACCCAAACCAACCTTCGTCTACTCCAACAATCAAGTAATTGAAGCCAAAATGTTTTGGGTAATTTTAATAGTGTTTTGTTGTCGATATAACTTTGTTGCGCCTTAAAGCACATGTTTGACTTTTTTAATGATTTGTTTTTTACTTTTACATCATGGCAAAACTTTGCATTCTGTTTGTGTCTGTTTTTTGCCTCCTTTTTTTCGTTTGTTTTATTAATTGCGGTCACTCGAAAATGAGTACACATAACAACAGTGCAGCACTCAGGGTAAGAATGGACGAATCGTTCCTCGTTTTTATCTTGCATTGGTTAGATGCCTCTGCAGCTGCTTTTTTTACTTTTTCTCTTGCATCGGTATTTGTTCTTGCTCAAATAGAACGGTTGATCAAAACTAGGATGTAGATGTGAGTGTGGGGTAGGGTGACGATAGCTTATACTATGACTAGTTTTGCAGGCATCTGGTAAAACTCAAGCTTTTGCTGCGTGTCCAATATCTCGAAAAATGAAGTATTCCTTGTGGCTGAAGCTTTTCCTGCCTTACGATAAAAGTTTCTATACATGTTTCCAATACAAATGAGTAGAAAAAAACTTGGGTGAGATTGATCAGAAAGACGGAAGTATTCGAGGAATAAAATAAGATATTTTTGCTCGTATACTGCAGTTTTCGATCGGATATGGAGCTTTATTGATCATTTCAGTGGAATCTTCTCACATTGCATGAAAAGTTACCTCTAACTAACCCAGTCTCAATTAAGTTCAAAAGGGTAGGTGTGGGGAAGATTATGAATGTCAATGTAAGGAAGGAAACAACACATCCAATACTCACGCTCAAGGTTCTGCCCGGTTATGTGCGGGAAGAAGAGTTCAAGGTTTCGTACCTCTATTGAATCTTTTTAGAGTTTTGTACTGCACCGTTTTTTCAGTGTTACACATATAATCGTATTTATACACTCTCTCTCGTAGGATTTAATGAGTGAATTCAAATGCATTGTTCGATCAATCAATCTCTTTGAAATAGTTCTTATTTAAAGAAAGAGATTTTCTGAAATGTGAATAGTGACCAATAGGCTCTTCATTTCAATTTTTTTGTACGTGCACACAAATACTGATAAAATATACATTAGTTTGTTAGGTCAATTTTGTTCGAGTTGATAGCTCCTTATCACAAAGTATCTTCACTAAAACTTCTTTTTCACTTATTTTGTTGTCTGAAAATCTTCATTGATTAACGTCTATATCTAAAATGAAAACGAAATATGATTTTACTATCATATTTCTCCCGAAAATTGGTATATGTGGGTACCGGTTCTAATGCTTTATAAATTTTGGTAGATTTGATACAGCCCAGTGAACAGTAGTGTATATTCATTCAATGAATTCACACTTTTGATTACGATTAGAATCTCACTCATGGTTCTGTGAAAGTAACTTCTTTGAGAAAAATTGTACTTCAGAGCTTGTAAACAGAGATGTCCATCGCGGCGCGACCGCTGCCGCTGTGGCGGTGGCGGCGCGGTAGCGGTTGTTTTTTTCAAATAACCATCGCGGTGCGGCACGGTAGCGGTCGTTTTTTTAACTAACTATCGCGGCAGCGGTAGGTTTTTTTGGAGAACAATGCAAAAATGCATGAATTCTAACAGAATTTCAATGTTTGCAAGTGCAAAACTATGAGATTCAACGAATCTTATCGATTGGTAACAACAGCTCAAGTCCTGAACAGTCACAGATCGTAAAATTCACAACATTATTCTAACAATCATCGCGACGGCGGTGCGGTAGGTTTTCTGTTTTTATCACCGCGGTGCGGTAGCGGCGCGTTAGCTTTTTTCTTTTATCGTCGCGGCGCGGCAGCGGTCAGTTTTCAACCGCGATGGACATCTCTGCTTGTAAAACATCGATTTCTGACATGTCTTCGTATACAAAAACTTGAATGAATATTCACCAGTTGAAATTTTTCGACATTTTCAACTGTTTCGGTTTCTTTTATAGAAGAGTGCGTATTTTCACAGGCCTTAGATATCTTTATTTGGTTTGTGTTTAATTCGAAGACTATACCCCGATGTCTTTGTTATAAAACTATGACTCATTGCTTGTCATTACATTATAAAATCATCATACACATTGTTTGGACCAGTTAGAGGCCTTGGTTCTTCATCGAATTCTTCTCGATTCTTTTCGAAACCATTGTGAAAATCTGGCACCTGTTCTGTATATTTATCGAAAATAAAATTTCGTACAAGCTGAATGATTGTTGATTCAAAACGAAGTGCAGTATGTATTTTGATGTAGAAGCGAAATTTTTGCTTATTCATATTAAATTAAGTTGAATAGCTATTACCAAACTTGATAGCACTTGGTATCACATTAAAATAAAGAATGATTATCTATTCAAGAAATATAGAATAGTGCAAGTGATACAAATACGTAAGGAGAAAAGTTTTCTTCGTGACTTATTCATACAACGATTCAGTAATGCTGTCATTGTGTGAGATCGTATGTCAGTATGATCAGATCAAAGTATGATTCATGTCAATAGTCGAATCTTGCTCAGGTTGCACAGTGACATTGTTATTTGATCAATATTTACTTAATGACCATTTTATCAAAACATTCAAATGCATTGGTTAGAGAAACGCAACCAATGAATCACACTTCGAGAGATATTACACTTCCCTCTATATGTCTCAGATTTCAGTAGCCCCCATGATTTTCGAATTATAAAACTAGGAAAATTTCCACTACCAATCAGTAACAATGAGTCATTTCATTCCTTAGGCGCTCATCACTCGGTCTTTCGTCCGGTTTTTTCCTTTTAAACGAGAGCAAGCATTAATAGAAGAAAGAAGAGAAAGAAAAAAGAGATGAGCGTTGGCGTCTGAATATCACGATGACGATGCATTCTTTTCATTCTCTTTCTCTCTTCCCAAATGCCAGTAGCAGCGTATATAAAAGTCTATACTTTTTCTTTTACGCTGCACTGTTATCTTTCAATAGAAAAGAATTTTTGACGACGCACGACTCACACAATGTCATCAACGAACTATCAAAACTTTGCGCGCGGTACGTAAAAAATACACAATGTCTTTATTCAATCGAGGCGCGACATCTGAAAACAAAATTTTCAGTATTATGTTCCCTTTTAAGTCTGTAGTTGTTATTGCAAAGAAAATAAACAACATCTCTTTAATATATTTTTTTTAAAGACAAATACTACAGTTTTTAGCTTATATGTCAAGTAGTGTACACGGTCCTAGTTTATTGCTATCATGTTTTTCACAATGGCCATTTACAGTACTGCTCACAATGTTTCAAATGACATATGTTGTGGTCTTGTAATCTTATTTTAATGATTTTTCTTTACTTCTACCGTCGAAGCATGCATTCAGTTTTACTCTGTTCGAACATGAAAATCATATTTCACAAGATGATTGCTAGCACTGAGAAAGAATATGTTCAGTAAAATCCTGTCAATTTTTTGTCAGCTCAAAATTTCAACAGCAAAATCTAAGTTTTGTTCGAAATTTCGTTACAATTTTGTTAGAGAATAGATTGCTCTAAATATCAATGGTACAGTTTCATGAATGATGCTAGTTTACTTTTCAAAATCTTGTACAGTTCTCACAGAAAAATTTACAAAACATTTTTCACAGCTCTTTTATAGAAAATATTCATATATTTCTCTACTCAAATGCTTATAGAAATTTTTAGTCAATCTGATAAAACTCTTCCACAAAATTAAGATTTTACTGTTTAAACTTTTAACAAGCAAGAATAAACAAGTTTTTACTAAACGTCTATTTTCCAATCTTGACAATCAGGTTAAGGAATTTGATTACATATTGGAATAGAACACAACTGATTTGTATACATCAATTATAGAAGTGAAGAAAAAATACTTCGTGTTAGTAACCAAACTCAAGTAATTCGTTGAAGAAATACACAAAAACAAACTTGGTTCAATTTTTTCTTTGAATCTTGTCGCGATAAGATCTAATTAGTAAATTCAAGTAGTGCAGAAATTGACTTGGAAACATGAACCATGGTTTCCTATATATACTTTTTTATCTTTATACGATGCAGAGCTTTTTTGGAAGAACCTTAGAAGTGAAGTATCGGATCAATCTCAAGTTTTCTTTGTTGCTGAAAGAACCAAGTCTACGAAACAAGTGTTAATATAATCAGTTTTCGCAATTGAGAAATGTTGCTAGAGACTTTTGCGTAGGAATCTGTTATAGTCGGACCTGAATTGAATACGCGTATTGTTTTTACAATTTTCAGCATTGTACCCTCGTAAATATGCGAGAAATATTATTGATACCTTGAACAATTGACAAATATCTACCACTCTTTCTATGCTCTTCAACGTTCTTTTTTTGTTTAAAGCAATGAATAATGCGGACAAGATCAACCAAGAAGGTGCATCGAATTCAACATCTCATATCGTGATCATCGGAGCCGGTGTTGCTGGTCTAACTTGTGCAAGGCAATTAACACATTTACTCAAGAAAAGATCACATAAAATCACAATACTTGAAGCACGTGACAGAGTCGGGGGTCGAACATTGAGTATTCCTGAGCTCAATCTTGATTTAGGTGCATCGTGGATCTTTTCATCTCACGTTGCAGCACTCTCACTTGTACGTGAGCTTAATATCAGTACAATCGATCAATATGAAAGTGGAATGTCACTTATTAGTACCGGAAATAGTGGTAACCAACGCATGGCCTTAGGTAGCATTCATAACGGTGCTAAACGTCTTAAAGGTGGAACAGGTAGTTTGTGCGCTGCAATACTCACTGAACTAACTACAAAAAATCAAACAACAGTTAGTATAGAACTTAACTCACCGGTTATGTCTATTGCATACGAAACTAACAAAACTATTAACGTAAAATTGCGTAACAACAGATCAATATTAGCTGATTATGTAGTACTAGCTCTACCACCCAAACTATTGATGTCTACAATACACTTTACACCAGAATTTCCACCATCACTCATCAAACGGCTCAATAACTGTGGTACATGGATGGCATCAACATGTAAAGCTATTCTACAGTACGATCGTGCATGGTGGAAAGATCGAAACTTGAGTGGATTTGCTATATCTCGTCATAGCAAAGCTCAAGAGTGGCATGATGCCAGTAGCAGTAGTTGCAATGCTCTTTTTGTGTTCTGCTTGGCTGGTACAACCAAGCAACAAGTGATTGATGCTACCGTCAAAACATTTGGCAATGAGGCAATGAACCCGACAGCTGTATACATGACCGACTGGAGTAGCGAAGTATTCACATCATCGTCGACAAATGACAGTATTGGTGGTCATGCATATGTAAGTGATGAATGTAGACAACCACAATGGAATGGTCGATTGTGGCTAGGTAACAGTGAAGTGAGTGATAGTAGTGGTGGCTTCGTCGAAGGAGCTGTTCGAAGAGGTACACAAGTGGCTGATCAACTAGCAGAATTGATTATAGCAAAGTGAAGTCCAGCCGAATATAATGAATCGATTCAAAAAATTGTTGAAGAAACTAAAAGACTACTTTTTTTGTTTTTCTAATTACAATATATATATATATATATATTATTTTTCCTTAGCCTGCAAGGATAGGGTCTAGAAACGGAAATTCACATGTCCGTCACTCTGTTTGTAATACAGTTGCCATATGGGCAACTATGGCACAAAGACCATTTCTGTAATACAAATGACTACATTTATGGCACAAATGACCATAGCTATAATACAGAACCACTGTATACGCTCGTTAATTCAATATAATTATACGACAGTATCTCTGTATAAACTATGGAGAAATACTATCAATTAGTGATAGATACTGAATCGAATAGACACTGTATGATGTCCTCTCTGTGCAAATTCCGTACACACTACCTTTACGTTCCTAAACGATTGTATTTCTGCATATCGTATATGTAAAGATACGATCGTAATACTAAGTCATGTATAACATAGCAATATAGAGCAATTTACGGTGGTTTACGAGCGCGTTTGTTTGATCTGCAGTTTCTTTAGAAGTAACAAAAATTGTTCAAAACTTTTGAATGATCCAAACCATTGTTGAAGGATATGTGCATAACAATGTGATGTAGTAATTATTACGGATTAAAGAGTCTGAATATAAAATTATGATAAAATGAAACATCATTAGTTGAATAATTCAATAATATTCTTTTGTCACAATAGAAATAGCAATAATATAACTAGTTTTAAATAATTATATATTTCTCTTTTACTTTTCTCTATCGGTGTGTATATAATATAAGTTTTATTTCCAATATGAAGAAGACGACACAGAATAATAAGAATAATGGAAAATCACAACATGTTCAAGCTAAAGTTTTGATAGAATTTCAGTAATTCAAATGTATCAATAGATGACAAAAAGAATTATACATTGACACTATCTCGTTATGATTTGAATTAAAAAATGGATTGTAAAGAACAGCATGCAAGAGCAAAAACGAATTTAGTTATAGCAGTGCAACCATCAAAAAACCTTGATAACGCTTCTGAAGAAAAACTGATAGCATTTTATGTATAAACTGAATTTAATCAGTCAAATGTAGCTTACTAACAATCGATTTTTCTTTCTAAACATAACAATGAAGTTGTGTGTGTAACTAAAAAATTGGTTTTGCGGAACGAGTCGCTATTAGATTTTAATTTATCTCTTGCATTTATCTAGTACTTTTCTTAAAGCACATTTATATCTAGATGTACGTATAATACATACATCTATCCTGTCAGTATAGGGTTAAATAAATCTGATATAGGTATGGATGAGATTGTGAAGATCAGTGTAAAGAAAGAAACATCCATACTCATACAGACACCCTTCGGTTCCGCTCGTTGTACACATCCTATATTATAAATATCGCCCGTAATTGGAAAAGCTTTATTTGAATAAATATATAGTTAAGCATTTATTTTGTTATATTAATATTAAAGTTTAAATTGTGTGATCCGAGTTTACAAAATAGACGTCAATATATCTGTGAAACAAAGTAATGAGTATTCATTTGTTGGTCTTTAATTTCAACATTCATCTTTGACAACAAACTAAAACAAATTAAAATATTCAAAAGAAATCTGGAATTTCAAATCCACTTATTCTGTACTTTAGACCGAAACTCTTGCATAAGTTTTACATTTCAGTTCTCTTTGAGAGTGCATTGAAAAACATTTTGAAAGAGTTTGAAGTTATTTCAGGAAAATAACTTGAAGCTTGTAGAAAAAAAATAATGTAAACGCTATAAAACATGATGCTATCACAATACTTTGGTTTACTTGTGAGGTTGAATTTGCTTATTTTTTGAATTGTGTTGTTTTTTTTTCTATGTTCAACTCTTCATCGAACAATGAAAACTTTTTGTATTCGCACTTGACAAGACTGAGCATGCTTGGATCACAATAACAGTCACACTGCTAAACCAGCAAATTTAAAATATTACGTGCTCATGAGTAGAGGTGTTAGCCGCCGATCGAGTGAAAGGTCACAGTTCAAGCTTCCTCTTTTTCTAAATTATCACTTGTTGATAATAATCAGTAATATCTCAAGTTTGATCTATGTGACAATTAGAGATTGCTGACACCAAGAGAACTTTAAAAAAATAGGAATTAGTGTATTTTTTCTTGGATGATATATGGTCTGAAAACCGAGCTGATAAGCAAATATGTCTCCTTGTGATTTTGTGACACTACCATATTTATTAGGTTTTCATTTGCCTTATTCCTTCATGCACAATAGATTCATCGCTATTATTTTCTCCGTTTCGCGATTCTTGACTTATTCAGTATGCAGTTTCGACTAACTGTCTAGTTTGAGTTCGAATATAAATGTAACTAACATTGCGATTCGAATTCCGATTCCAATCGACACTCTCCTACCAGTTTAGAAAAAAGAAAAATATTTAATTTCAATTTGAATTCAAATAATCAATGAAAACAAATCTTGCGTTTTTTTCTCCACTCACAGAAAAGTATCGATTTGAATTTGGATTCAAATTCTAATTTCAATGTTAGTTTCACTTATGATCTAATTCGAGCTACCATAGGGATGGCACATTATCTTTATTTTACTTTGAAAAAGTAAAGTAAAGTAGAGTAAAGTAAAATACTATAGTCTGAGTGTGGATAATAAAGTGAGATAAAGTTAACCAAACAATATTTTTCATGTATTCATAAAAAATCGACATTTTTCGGCTTTACTTATTTCTTTTTCACACTAATTTTAAGACGAAACGATATTGAATAAACTTTGATACGTTCTAAGATTATTTCTACACGACCCTGAACTAAGAAATTGCCAAAAAACTTAAAACATAGCTTCATTTTTTTTCACTTTATTTTACTTTCACGGGTAAAGTAAAGTATTTAACTTTATTCTATCCGATCAAGTAAAGTATTTAACTTTATTCTATCCGATCAAGTAAAGTATTTAGCTTTATTTTATCCAATCAAGTAAAGTATTTAACTTTATTTTATCCGATCAAGTAAAGTATTTAGCTTTATTTTATCCGATCAAGTAAAGTATTTAACTTTACTTGATCGGGTAAAGTAAAGATAAAGTGCCAGCCATAAGCTATCATGTTTGAATTTAATTTGTATTTTAGATGGATAGTCACATTATTGTCATTTCGGCTTATATCATGAGTTCTTGTTGTGTAGTTTGAAGTTATTTTATGATGGGACAATGTGAATTTTTTGAATTAATGAAAATAAAAGTTACATCTAGTGAAAAAATTTTTCCATAAAAAGACATGAGCGTGCTAAGAGGAAAACAGCGGTATAATTCTGTGAGAACAGAACGTCTAATGTTTGTCTTAACGGTAGGGATCTACTAAAGACCCTGTGAAATAACATAGGAAAAATTTTGTCGTCGCCGCCGCCGCCGCCGCCGCCGATCAAATGATCGGCTAACACCTCTACTCATGAGGAGTGTGGGTGAAGAAATTCAATCTTTAAGATGTGCAGAGTTTTGGTTGAAAAAACAATAATATGAGAGCTATTCATATTCATTTTTTCACATAACCATCAAGTTTTCTTAGAGAGTACATTTTCAGAATCTTGTTAAAGTTTATCCATCATGTTAGAACCAAATTGGCTTTAGCTTGTTCTCTAAGTTTACTAATATTAAACTAGAGAAAAAGTCGACAATTTCTTATCAAAATCTTAAGTCTATCAGTACTTTTGATTTTATTTCACCCATAAGCAATAGTTTTGCTATAAATGAAGATGAATATTTTCAACGAAATGATCATAACAAAACGGTTTTTCCAGCCAGCATACATTTAAAGCATTCGCTCCTCACAGTTACTAATTGGACCATAAAGGTCTTAAAATTTAAGAACAAATATCATTTGATTTATCAAAGTTGCTAATCGTTTTGTTGACTATGCGCATAGGTTATATGTGTGTGAAAGTGAGCCTAGCGTTAAGCCTTCTTATTACCCACAATTCATGGGCTACTTTTAATAACATTAATTTTAGGACAAATATGAGTTCGTTCTAAGAAGAATATAGCCGTTTGTTTTGATTTTCTAAGAAGAACAATTAAATTCATACAGATGTCAAATGATAACAATACAGTATTGTATACGTCTTTGGTTTTGATCTTTTCAAATCAGCTTAGAACAAGACAACAGGATCTGTCATTATAATAACTGTAGAGACTTTAGCGGTGTATTTTTTGTTTCTTGATAAAATATCGAAGTTCTTATCGTAAGTATATGCTAAGAAGTATGCAAAATAAACTGATGCAAGCATTTTAAGACACTCGATTTATATTCGAATGTTATCAATGTATTATCGATATAGTGAAAAACGTAATTTGATGATTTATAACAAGACTATGTTGATATGTCTTCCACCAATACAGTTTATGCTTATTATTTAGGATAACAACATATAAAAACGTATTTAGTTGACGTACATAAAAGAGCCAAATATTTACGATGAATAATCCTCCGATGCTTGCATGCATTTAATATTCCTGAGCGGTGTATAATTATTCTTTCAGAAGAATAATATAAACGAAAGCTATGCGTATATAAAAAGTATGAATAGAACCTCATGAATCACTGTTCTACATCATATATATATACCCCTGGAATAAAGTCTGCCCTCTATGAGTTTTTTTTTGTATAGAATCCCTTGGATCTCAAGTGAGTATTAGTTACAAGAAGGATATAAATATTGTATTCTAGTGTAGTGTATGATTGATTATGACTTGCTTCAATGATTAATGTACGTTATTCAATACAATCGGGCAATATTGCAAATCAATTGGTTGATTACTTACTTCATGGCTAGGTTATCTCTTTCTGTGGTATTTTCTGAATGTTTTACTACTACATAGTTTTATTTTATCTGTATTTGTATAATCGAATATGCCGCATTCTTCGAAGAGCTTTAAATCAATGAAGAAGAGATTTTACTGATCCAAAACAGTAAAGCAGTTAACAGATACTAAAAAAACCTAGTCATGAAATATTTTGACAACTAATTCATATGCAGTGTTGCTCGATTATATTGAAAGATGTAAAGTCTTCATTGAAACAAATTTTCATCAATCATACTTGGACCAAAGAGGTTTTATAAAAACATAATGATGAGAGTAGGAAGTTTTCTGTCCAGGCGTGTGTATATCACTCGTTTACTTCAAATAAAGATTTTATACATATGTAAAAGATATATATTGAAAGTGTGTATGTCACTCTAGAAAAACCTGTTATCTCATAGACCTCATGATATTATCTCTGAAAAAAACCTAGAGTACATATGTACTTTTAAATTTTTCATTATTTATGTTTTTTATTCTTTCCCTCGTTCTTCCTAGCGTTTTAGAAGAGTTTGCTTAGAGTATTGCAAACTCAATTTGTTTGCCTAAAATGCATACTCCATGAATGTGTTCTGTTTCCTTCACCGAAAAGGTTAGAAATAATGTTTTTTTAATATTTTTCTTTAGTAATAAAAATGGCTTCGGTTTGGATGTATTCGTTATTATTATGCTTTTTGATACTCAATCACAAAGCATTAGGGTTTAATGTTGAACGTGCACTGTTTGACGATTCGAGTGATAGTTCGGATGATGAACAAGAAGAATTGACTAAGCGATCCTCATCCTCATATGATATGAATAACTTCAATTCTGGTTATACTAAAGATAATTTCAATGTTTATTTTATGGGTAAAAAAATTCATGGAGCAAGTGCTATGTCGTTTCAACCTTTAGCATATGGTTATGCTAAAGACAACTGGAATGTTTATTATATGGGTCAGAAAATGGATGGAGCAAGTGCTATGACGTTTCAACCTTTAGCATATGGTTATGCTAAGGACAACTGGAATGTTTATTATATGGACAGAAAAATTCCTGGTGCCAGTACAATGTCATTTCAGGTTCTTTCTCATGGATACGCTAAAGACAACTGGAGTGTTTATTATATGGGTAGAAAAATGGACGGTGTATCACCTAATTCATTTAATGTAAGTCCTTCTGGACGATAATCAAATTATTACTTAAGTCAAATTCTATGAACAGACTTGAAATAAATAAATTTTTATCAATACAAAGTTTATTATAATCACAACAATACAAAGTTTTAATAAATTTCCTCTGTCGACTGATCTTTAATTCAATGTATCTGTATTTGTGTCAGATATTCAAGTCAATATTTTAAATGATATATCATCATTGAGTATCTTCACATTTAGTAATATAACAGTGTAATTACAGAAAAAAATATAAGAGAATCATAAGAATTGATGTGGTATTATATTCATTATTGTTTAGTATATTTTGTAATATCAATCTTTGTATATGTAGCAAAATGTATAGAAAACTAAACACATGAAGTCAAAAAATATATGCAGACTAATTTAAGCACACAGACCTTGTTCATGAGCACTGCATACAATATATTGTATAAGGCTCTGTAGATGCTTGTTGTTTTCTTTGAACTATTTATTCAGTGTATACTTTAGTTGATCCTTTGACCAATTATTTATCCTAAGCCTCAAGTAAAAGATCAAGAGGAATATGTTTTGATTTTCATAGTACTATCATTTTTTGTGTAAAATTTCTACCGATTATGTTACTATTATTCGATGAGAAGATGTCAATGAGTGATGTCGTCTGAAATATTGACTAGATTATTCTAAAGTCATTTAGATATATTTCATTAGGTATCATCTGTTTGTCAAAAAATAAACTGATTTTTCTTCAAAACTCAAATCTCATGATATACTATGCAATGAAATATTCAATCAATACACAATCTACATACTATTTATGTCATGAAGTCTTATCGAAAATGATCACACAGAACAGAAAAATTTGTACTTGATAATATTTTGTTAATGCTATAAGATTTTTATTCATTTTGTGCTTCTTATTGATTTAAGTGCAGATATGTATGTTTCTTTTGGCATTGACCTTCACGTTCGATTCATACTTTAGTTAAGAGGATAAAGACGAGAAAGAAAAGAAGAAAACAGGATGCCTGCACTGATTCATGTGCGTCAGAGTGTATTATAAGAAAAATGTTTGATTGCTATCACATCGAGAAAAGGAGTATATTTTAGACTATTCAAAAATAAAAAGCTCAAATGGAATAGAGAGGTTCTAAGCATCATCGACGAATGGAGTAAGATATTACTTAGAGAAATCAGCTATACTTTTCATCGTCATGAACATGAATTCGATTTGTCTACGTGTTTGTTTTAGTAGAAAGGGTAAAAAGAAGTTTGTGACATTTTTAACCTTCTGATATTAAGCTTATGCAACTAGTCTATCATTATTGCAGACGTTAGTTGGCATTATATCTACAAATATCATGTGAAAATATTCTAAGCCACGAAAACTAACATGAAGTGATTTTACATATTTTGAACTGCAATCGTAATGGGATGTAGAATTTCATATCTTTATTACTTCACTTCGCCAAGGTACTCTCTAGGCGAAAGAGAGACATTCTGAAAAACGAAACAAATAGATAGGTATACAATAACTAAACATATGAGTTTAATAACTGCAGGAAATATGGTGTGGATGTGAAAGCCTGCTTTGAGAAGGTGCGGACTGATTTTTCATGTGGGGTTATGGCTGAAATGAATATTGACACTCTCACCATATATCATTCGTTTTCAATAAATTGGTTATCGAATAGTTTATTTGAGTAAGACTAGAGAGAAGAAAACAGATGATCTTGCAAGAAAAGAGATTTGCACGACTATAATTCAACAGTGGTCAACTACTTTCAAGAATAACTTGAATCAATTTTAGAAGTAGAAATAAGAGCGGTATATTGGTTGAGAGCAGAACCGAGAAGAACATGATTACCAACGCCCAGTTGACGTGGTGTCAAACGAATAAAGTTAAGAAAACTGTACGTTTCATTATTGATAGTAGGCAGTAGAAGGTCCAGTAAGAAGCGATTGATTGGCACGAATAAGATTTCGCTAAACCAATGAATGACAAATCATTTAATTCAAACTTTCAATCTAATGCTATTTGTGGCAGTTATTTTCTTTCTTCCTAAGAATAGTTCAGCAGTCATCAGAAATTTTTCCATTGATGCGGCTCTTGTGTATAAAACCGGTCATGACTTTACTAATACAAACTTAATTGATCAACTGACGATTACATTAATTGAAATGCTGTTGCTTGATTAGAGCTCATCAATTAAGAATGTGAAGACAACATCAACCTGAAAACTAATTTGAGTTTTAACGTATATGACTCACACACCATTTCACATTAGATGCTTTCAATCTCGAATTCAAACTTCTCCTGCAGCAATTCAAGTTTGAACATCAACTGATATGTTCAGTGAGATGATAGGTTTTTTTGCAACACTTTCAATATGTAGTAGATATTTTTCTATGGTGGTAAATACATCAGTAGATTCAACAGTATGGTCGAAATTTAATTGATTTCAAGAAATTCTAAAGGATCTGGCTCTTACATGAATTTAAATAAAACAATTTCAATATAAAAAAGTTTATGGCGAACTTATTATAAAAAAAAACAAATTAATTTACTATCATCTACAAGTTGTCATATTTCTTCGCATGTTTCAACTTTGAAACGACCTTCAGTAGAATCCTATCTGTATATTACTCTTTTTACTAGCAATAAAGTAAATACATTTCTTAAAAGCACATCAACATAGGATTTGGTCAATGAGACCAGATCAATTAATACTTTCTTTTTGTATATCAAATAGTATTTCAAGACTACTACTTTTACAAACAATAAGCAAAACTTTAAAGACATCTATGAAATTATCTGTTCAATTGAATGCGAATTGACAATGTTAAAATAGTTTTGTTTAGACGAATTTTCTTTTATTCAAAAATTTCTATTGAATGCGAATAAAATTTTGTGCATTTCTAAATTATAATATGTAAAATATTATAATAATATCATTCTGGAATCTAATGCTTTTACACATTTTACTGTTTAGTTCTGTATCAAAACAATCAGTTATACTATTCAAACCTTAAAAAAGTAGTATATCAATACTAATATGAATAAGACATCTTCAATTTACACGTTTTTACATAATTTTGTGTGAACGCTCATCTAATTGACAGTTCTAATTTCAAGCTGTAATTCTTTTTTGTTGTCAGATTATATTTTCTTGTAAAGAAAAAGTAGATTAAGTGATCAAGCCAAAACTTTTTCTCATCATCATTCGATGATCCTTATCATCACAAGATAGAATATTCTTTGTTTTTTTTTATATAACTTAAAATGGATTGTCATTGATACTTTTAATCACATTTATTTTTTTTTTATTCAAAAAGAAGAACAACAAATCTTTTCAAACATTCAATACACTTCGATGAGTGTATTCATTGTACAAAAACTTCATAACAACATAATTTGTAAATTTCAAGACATTGATTGTTTCTTCTTTACCCATTGTTCAAATGCTTCTCTGTATAATGTAAATTAATTTATGTATAAGAATTAATTTTTTTCAATTCCTACTTGCAAAAAACCGATAAGCATTGTGCACTACAATATTCTCCATCCCATTCAGGATGATCAATAGAAGGATTTTCACATCCAACACGTTTACATTTTATTTTAGAAGATACTGTAGTATCGACGACAGTTGATAATGACTAGACACAATAGAATATAAAAAGAATCTATGTTTTTCTAATATTCAAAAACAAAAGAAAAAGAATTTTTTATTCATTTTAAATGTACAAAACATGTATACATTGTTTAAAACAGAATATCGTATAAATTATTACCGGTGTTGATGAGCATAATGAATCAGACTTATTTGTATCTGTTATATATTCTAGTGAAGCCATAAACAAATAAAACTATCTAAAACAATTATTTTATTGATATTTAAACTGAATAATTTATTAGATTTAATTATTATTCTTTGTTATTAATAAACAAACAAAAGGAAGAAAATGTACGCATCACCACTGTGTGGTTAAACATGTTGTTTGTTGCCAATGAAAATTATTTTCATTACTAATTGGTAATAATGATGAATGACCATCTTGTTTTTTATCATTCAATCCATGATGAACATTATTCATATAATCATAAGGTTTTTCAAGATGTCCATTTGTTATAGGAGTAAGATCTGTATACTGTGATATATTATTATTATTGTGTAAATTATGTATTAAATTTTCATTTGTTTTTATATGTTCATTATTAATTGATGATCGAGAATAATAAGGTGAATAATGTTCAGATTCAATAACTGGTTGAAGTAAACCATATTGTTGATAATCAGAATAATTATTATTTGAATCATATGAAGAATAATTTTGATGACTAGGATTAGAAAAATTGCATATTTGATAATCCGAATGATATGCATTTGAAGTATCTTGAGTATAAGAATTCATATAATGAAAATGGTTGTATTGTTGTTTTTGATGTTGAATAGATGATGATGGACAAAATGATTGAAATGAATGATGATTATTATTTATCATTGATGCTGTATGATATGGTTTTTGTTGATGTTGAATTCCATGTGAATCAAATGATAAAGATGTTTGATTAAGAAGATGATGCATATTTGGTGTCTAAATGATAAATAGAAAAATTGAAGTTTTTATTTTTGAATGCAAATTCATTTTTTACTTGATTTGAAATTTGAACAGCACGATATGCAGCTAATTGTTTTAAATATTCTTTTTTAGCTGCAGCTGCTTTAGATTTATATTGCTAAAAATTAATTATAATGAAAAAGATGATAATAATAATTTATAATTGTATTCTTTACTTCTTTAATTTCTGGCTCAATATTTTCCCACATATGTGCAACAACTTTTGAGATTTCTCTAAAAAACATACAAACAAAGGAAAATCAAAAATTTTGACATATTTAAATTTATTTACCCAAATGATGGATTAGATAATTTCTTTTTTATATCATTTTGTGTATCACGAAAGAATAATGCATACGGAGAAACTGGCCTAAGAAAATGTTGTTCATAGAAATCAAAATAAATATGAA